TGATTCTTAAAGATGTGTCTTTTTTCCTCTTCCCGAACGTTGTATTGCCTTGATTGAACAGTAATGTTTGTGGGGTTTGAGGTTTGCGAGTAATTTGCCTCCAAAGATGTGTTCTTTTTTATCATACCTAATAGGGGTTTTGCTTTGATTGAGGAATGAAGCTTGTGGGGTTTATATTTGATCATTGGGTATTGAGTTCTCTAAATATTGTATCTTTTGCATCTATTTGATATCTCATTCATGGTGAGGTATTGCCTTGATTGAAGAATGAAGCTTCATTCTTAAAGATGTGTCTTTCTTTCCTCTTCCCGAACGGTGTATTGCCTTGATTGAACAGTAATGTTTGTGGGGTTTGTGGTTTGCGAGTAATTTGCCTTCAAAGATGTGTTCTTTTTATCATACCTAATGGGTGTTTTGCTTTGATTGAGGAATGGAGCTTGTGGGGTTTATATTTAATCATTGGGTATTGAGTTCTCTAAATATTGGATCTTTTGCACCTATTTGATATCTCATTCATGGTGAGGTATTGCCTTGATTGAAGAATGAAGCTTGTGGACTTATAGAGGTTTGGGGCATTAGGTTGGGAGATATGTTCAAGTGGTGTGATGAGGTGTAATTGAGTTCTCTAAAGATTGAATCTTTGCATCTATTTGATATCTCATTCATGGTGAGGTTTGCACGATCTTTTCTCCCGTTGTTTCTTTTTAGTTTGATTTTGTATTTGAGAAATTCATGATCCAGTCCGTAGATAAAGACTCGGGTGTTTGAAAGAGGCGAGAGATTGAAAGAAAATAATGTTATTGCTGTTTTATTGGTGACCATTTAGCTGGGAGGAGGCTATATTGATATCGAGAGTTTTATTTTTTAACCTCTCCAGATAGTTCTTTCAAGTCCGTTGCCTATATGTTTTAATCCAAAGTTTCTTGTTCCATTTATGTTTTAAGTCATTCGTTGATTTTTGTTACATTATGGACTGAATGTATCATTTATATGATTGCAGACTTATGTAGGAGATCAAATAATGAGCGGCAGTAGACTCGATGCCATATTGAAAAATGTTTTCATTGGGAAGTTGACTTTCTTGCACGGCAACAAAGGAGAAGAAATGGTCCCGACTATCGATTCTCGTGGTGGAACTCTTCTTGTTAGGAAAATCCCAGATGCAGACCCAACGTAAGGTCCTTTGATCTGAACAAAATATTCAATTGCTTGGAAATTAAAACCCTTTCCCTACATATATATATATATATATTATTTTTGTCATTGTTTATCAATGAAGTAGTTTACACAAAGTTATTTGCTTATATCGTAATTTTTCTTTTTTAATTGACTACTTTAGACCATGAGTCCCTTATTTGGTGGAATTCTTAGCCTTTTTTTTTTTTTTTTTTTT